TCTTTTAATATATTTTTTTTCCATTGTGTAACAGTCTCCTGAAACATCTTCCTATGTTCCTAACACTTTTCTAATCCCTTTCTGTTTAAGATGAAAGTCACTCAAAATTTATTGCCTTCAAGTTGGTCCTGGCTCTGGTAACTCTATAGGAAAGAATAGTACTGCCTACCAAATTTCTGGGGCTCTACATCATAATGAAATCAGGCTACACATTGGACTTCTGTGGAATGTCTGTCGCTTTAACTTCTCAATTTTTCAGTTAGATTAATTCATATTGATAGCCATAGACTTTGGTCTTCTTCAGCAAGTGCTTCAAGTTGTTTTCACTTTTCTCAATCAAAGTTGTGCCATCTGCATAATGCAAGCTGTTGATGATTCTTCCTCTAATCCTGAAGCCACATTCTTCATATAGTCCAGCTTCTCAGCTGATTTACTCAATGTTTAGGCTGAATAAGTATGGAGAAAGCAGACAATTCCGATGCACACAATTCCTGATTTTAAACGATGAAGTCTTCCCTTATTCTGTCAAGACAAATGCTTGGTCTGTGTACAGGTTTTGTATGAACACCATCAAATATTCTGGAATTCTCATTCTTCTCAATGTTATCCATAGTTTATTATAAGTCACATGTCCAATGTCTTTACACACTCAAGAAGACACAAGTAAACTTCTTGGTGGTATTCTCTCCTTCCAGCCAAGGTCCATCTGATTTCACCAATGATATCCTTTGTTCAATGGCCTCTTCTGGATCCATCTCAAATTTCTGGCAGTTCTCTGTCAATGTACTATTTCAGTCATTTTAAAGTAATCTTCAGTAATAGTTTATTTGCATGTGATATGAATGATATAGTTTGTTAATTTCCAAATTCTGTTGAATCACATTTTTTTAATCAGGAAAAAAATATGGATTAATTCCAGTCAGGTGGCCAGGTGGCAGTCTTTTAAATTTCTTGGCATAGATTGGTAAGTATGTCCAAGACTACACCTGTTTGCTGAAATACTTCAGCTAGTGTTCCAACAAACCTTGAGGTCTTATGCTTCCTCAGTGTCTTCAGTGCAGTTTAACTTCTTCCTTCATTACCATTGGTTTCTGAGCGCAATCTACTTCCTGAAATGGTTCAGGGTGAACCAATTTGTTTTTGTACAATGACTTTCTCTAGTCATTTCATCTTCTTTTGATACTTCCCGCAGCATTCAGTATTTTTCCCGTAGAATCCTTCATGATCACAACTCAAGGCTTGAATTTGTTCTTCAGTTCTTTCAACTTGGTAACTGTGCTACGTGTGTTCTGCCCTTTTGCTTATCTAACTTGAGCTCATTGTGCATTTTCTCACACTTTGCTTTGTCTTCTCAAGCTGCCTTGTGAAATCTGTTCAGCTTTCTGACTTCATTATTCCTTCCCCTGTTTTCACTTCTTTTGATTCCTGTGCAAATTTTAGAGTCTCTTCTGTCTTCTGTTTTGGTTTTTTTCTTTCTCTCCTGTCTTTGTAATAACTTTCTGCTCTTTTCATGGTTAATGTCCTTGATGTCATCTCAGCTCATTGGTCTTTGGTCATTAGTATTCAATGTATCAATCTGTTCTTGAGATGACTTTTAAAGTTCAGTTGGGGTAAACTCAAGGTTATAGTTTCCATTTTGTGCAATTGCTTTAATTTTCTTCAACTTCGGTTTAAACTTGCATAAACTGAATAAACTTCATTTCTGTCCAGAGTCAACACCTGTCCTTGTTTTTATTACTGATAGTGAGCTTTTCCATTGTTTCTTCCCATAGATGTAGTCAATATTATTCTGGGTGGTCCATCAGATGTACATGTGTACATTGCCATTTATATGTATTTAAATTATTTGTGATGAATAAATCATTGTGCTAAATTGTATCATGTGATCTCCAGTCTCATTTCTAGAACCAATTTCCCATTTCCCAACTAACATTTTTTTCTTTATTTCCGACCTTTGCATTCTAGTCACCAATCATTATTCTCTGCACCGCTAAGGCTTTTTTAAGAACAGACACCATCTCCTTTTTGACAATGTGCCTTACTTCAAAGATTTTACAATCTTACACATCAACTCCTTACCAATATTTGACTCATGCTCATTGCACCACTGGCTCCCCTGCTCTCTCAACTCACTCTCACATTTGCTTTTCACTGATTAAGTTTCAGCTTTTTGCCTTCTGTTCATCTGTATTTCATCCAGTTTCCCAGGTTCATCCCATTAATACCTGTATTACTGATTTCTTGTTATTATGAATATATGTTGCTGTTATGTGCCAGAGAGTTAGAACTGACCCATAGCTGACCCTCTGGCAGGTTTTCACAAGGGAGGAGATCGCCCATCCCTCTCACACAGATCAGCTGATGGACTCAGGGATTGCAGTGCAGCTTCTTGTCACTAGGCCACCAGAGCTCCCTAATGAATATATATGCTCTTTTATTAAATCTTGCAGTATTAAACTTTTAACTATAAATGTATTTAATGAGTCAATGACTTAGCATATTCAAAGATGCTGAGATTTCCCTTAGCAGGGATTGTATTGGACACATTCCATTAAAGTCTTCCTTATACCTACTATTTAAGGAAGTGCTGAATTTAAAAGAATTGTTCAAAAAGCACTTGCTAATTGATGTTTCTTCTGAATTAAATTTTTGCCAGGTGATAGAAAGCAAAGCTAGAATTGAATTCTTCATCTGGAACAAATGGAAATGAATTCAGTAAGTGAATTTTAAATGGGATTAAGAGAAAGAATGTTATTTTGTACCACACATTTACCTTTTTCAAAATATTTTCACATTTACTGTTAGATTTAAGCATCTGTGAAATATTTGAGACAATATCAGGAGACTGATGATTCTAACATTGACAGCTACTCATTTATAAGGATTTCAAGGAAAATTCTCATATGTTTCTTTAAAAAGAAAGATCCAAAATATGCTCACAAAATCAGACTGGTCTGATTCTGATGATGTACTATTTCACTCTCAAGCTACAATATACTTTTTATAACTCCATCTATGTAGCCCTTACTAATTATATTAGTAGTCCATAAATAAGAATAAACAATTTTAATTTGGTTTTCCACAAAAAAGTTGCAGAATTACTATCAATAAGCAACTGAAATCATTAAAGGATCCTATGAATTATACTCATAGAGTAGAAACATTTCTACTTTTTCTAAACTAGTCTTTGTATCTGTTTGCTTTTCAGTAACTACTAGTATGGAGGTAAAAATATCTTTTTTTAACCTACAATTTAACTGTAACACTAATGTGGAGCTTTCCTAAGCGGTTCTTCGTATTTTCTAATATGAAGAATTTGTGGATATGCTTATCCTTGAATGGGTATCATAAGGTCAACATTACTAGTACTTTTGAATATGTGTAAAACTATCATAAGTGGAGAAAGTGTTGTAAATAAAACTTTCAGAGATGAATAGAGATTACATAAAAATTTCAGAATAAAAATCATATTAAAACTTAATATAGAGCATAAGGAGATGATACTTTCAAAATTATCAATAAAATACATTAGGTTTTCTACAGAGTTTAATGTAGGGCATAGTATAATACATTAAATAATGAATCACATTTTTAAATATATATATTATCAGACTTTCAACCTATTAAGAAAACAAACATATTAATTATTCAGGATTACTGTTTTCACAAGTAAAATTGAAATTTATAGAAATACTTCACCCATTAAACAATGTCTCATGCTTTTCTAAAAATAACACAAAAATGCTTTCAGTAATAAATCTATGTTAACAATGCATATACATCCAAGAAAGAATACTAAAGAAATTAATTTATGTAGCTATATAGTTACTCTGGGAAATATAAAGAACATTTTAAAATCATTCTTACCTCTTTGCTCTCTTCTAATTCTGACTCACTGCTGAACTCTTCTGTATTCAAATTTTCAAAATCAGACTCTCCGACAGCAATTGGCACTATCACTGTGAGACTGGGATTGTTTATGAACGATGTGCCATTTTCATCAATTACATATTTCTCAACACTACTTCCAGTACCTACACCACTAGTAGTTCCATTCCCATCTTTTAGATAATTAAACTCTTTGCTTATTTCAATTGCAGTGTTGTTGGATATGCAGCTGTCTATTTTGTTGCCTTCATGGATTTCGATAACTTTTGGCTTCCTGAAAAAGGCTCGTTGGAAACATTCACATATCTTGTTTTTTATATAATCGATTCCCTTTTGCATCCTTCCTATGGCAATCTGGAGATTGTTCATTTCATTATCATCATCAGTAGCAGCAAGGTTGTCTGAACTAAATGAACTTAATAATAAGGCCAGAAAAAGGTTCAGAACCTAAAAGTAAGGGGGGAAAAATCTATTAATATTGAAGCATGTATGGCATAGTCTAAATTTGGAGAACTTAGAGATCTTCGTGAAAATAATCCAACAAACACTTACTGAGTATTTATGTCCAAGTCACGTACTATGTAAAAAAACCTAATATTTTTTTTTATAAGCCAAAAGGGCAAAATGGTAAAATAAGTACCTCTTCCTTCCTGCTGAAAATGATAACTGGAAATTAAAGTGTACGCAATTTTCATTTTGTTTACAGTTAAGCTAGATCAATAAAAAGAGAAAATCTTCCTTATATAGTTTTTGCCAATGAGAAAAGAAAATGTTATTTTCATCTTAGCAATTACATTTCATCTTACCAATTTGTCTACAGGATGTTTTCTTGTGTGTACATAGTGTATTTATTTATTTGTCTTGCTGTTATGAGCAAAACTAACATGCTTAGGAAACAAATTTGCAATCTAACAGGCTCAAAATCTTATTTGGAGAGCTAGCATTTCTAAACAGCAAGTTTTAACACTCTTATCAAATGGTCTTTGAAATCTCTGTGTTCCCATAGCTCAAAAGATGGTAGAAGGGTGGGGATTCTGGTTACACAAGCATTTATTTACGTTAGACCCATTCATTGTAAGCTATTTTCTCTTTTCTTCTTTTGGTATGGGGGGAAGATATAATGAAATCTTAAATGTCATAGTGTCATTGATATTGATGAGAAAATTAAACCAATTATCTGAAAACATATGAGTAAGACGGAATAATCCATTATAATTAACACAAAAGGAATTTTATTTACAGGATTCTTTTAACTTGACATTTATCAAATTTCAAACTGTGTTGTCTAATAGGAAGGTACTTTCAAAGTTATAAACTTAGTTGTTTGTTGTTGTTTTTTTATTTGTCCATCAGAGTCTATTCAGACACTCAGAAAAAATGAAGAAGAAAAGATAAGGGAGGTCTGGTGGCTTAATCTAGAAGAGGTTGCACTGCTAACACAAAGGTGGCACCTCTCTAGGGGTTCTAATCCACCAGAGGCACTTGGGAGATAATGTAGACAGTCTTCTGCACCGCAATTCACAGCCTATGAAAACCTGCAGGAGGTTCAGCTATTCAGAGCTGCCTGATCTAGTGTTCTAGGGGGGGAAAATAGAATTTTTAAAAAGCAATCTCACATAGTATGTATCCACCCAAGGTAAAGTCCAATACATAAAACCAACAACTATATATATATATACACAAATCATCCATTTACAATAAGTCAAAGCTAAAAAAGTTAACTTATTTTAAATCTAGTCACTGCTTATCACCACATATAAGTAATGTAAATGTAAAGAATTTATTTTACTTTAATAAATTCAGGTGAGAAGACATTACTTCTTTCAAGGTTTTAGGAAAAAATAACACATAGTTAAAATGGCATGTCCTATTTCAAGAATATTTGTCCTGACAATTTGTTAGAATGGAACTTGACCTTTCTACATAAGCAAGAATAAAATTTTTAAAAATTCAATATAAGCAGATAACTGTCCTTTTTAAATTTATTGACAATTACTGTTAAAATAATAGAATAAAAACTGGGCTGGATGATAAAATATTTTTATTTGAAGAAGAAAATGAAAGAAAAAATAGATGTGCTTCTTAAACTTCAATAGAGTTCATTTAATTCTCCTATCAACATTAAGATTTAAATTGTGTTATTCCAGCTTCATAGATGAGGAGGGTAAGCCTCAAAGAAGTTCTTTTGCTTGCTCTTGCTCAGATGTAGGTCTTGGGTTTGGAATTTGACTCAAGCCTTTTCATTTATAAAATCAGAGAAGGCCTCTTACATCAGGGCAATTTCTTAGCTATCTGCTCCTTTTACTGTTCTTATTAATGAAGGCTCATAAAACATACATACCACAAGATTTCCAATGACCATGACCAACATGAAAACAATAAGGCACATGGTTTGGCCAGCGACCTCCATACAGTCCCACATGGTCTCTATCCACTCCCCACATAGCACGCGGAACACGATCAGGAAGGAGTGGAAGAAGTCGTTCATGTGCCAGCGTGGGAGCTCACAGTCGCTGGAGATCTTACAGACACATTCTTTGTAGCTTTTGCCAAAGAGCTGCATGCCAACCACGGCAAAAATGAAGACGATGATGGCCAGTACCAAGGTGAGGTTACCCAAGGCCCCTACAGAATTGCCAATGATCTTAATGAGCATATTTAGTGTGGGCCAGGATTTTGCCAACTTGAAAACTCGAAGCTGTAATGAAGCGAAAATATACAGTTAGTAGTAATCACAATGGAATCACAGAAGTTAGTTAGGCAAGGGAAAGGCAGTATACAATAAGGATTTGCTTAAATATTTTAATTAATCACATTAATCAATTATGATTGTTATAAAAGGTAATTAACATCATAAAACAAAATATAAAAGATTGAATAAAAGCCAAATGTGGTTTGTAAAATTTCAGTTAAAAAAAAATTTAAGAATGAAGAATGTCATATTGTAAACCAGTATCTTAGGGATGTGAAAATTCAAAGCACTTTAAATCAGTTGAAATTCAAATCCACAAAGAAAATCAATAATAGAAGATCTAAATAAAATCATTTACAGGCAAAAATTTAAAAAAATATTTCAAAAGTGATTAAATTAAACATTTCTGCAGATAAATCTGTAAAAATAAAATATTTTTATTGGAGACAGTTGTAAATCAAACTAATGTTATCTTGTTAAATAATAAAGGTGCTAATGGCATCAAATACTAGTTGTTTAGAAAATAGTCCCAACTACTAGGGTTAATAAAGAATTAATAATATTCATTGAAGTCTAAGGTATTTATTTTTCTCTCTCGAATTAAAAGCATACAAGAGGACATAATCTCTCAAATAATTAATTTTAAAATTAATGAGCTTACATATCTCATACTTTTAAATATAGCAAGTAGCTTATCCTCCTTAGAAAAGTCTTACATTGAACCTTAAATGTATTTTGTTAGAATATCACACTGATAAAGTAAATAAAACACATTGAATTCAGTTAAAAAATAAATGACCAATAAAAGACAGACTATATGTGCCTACCAGTCTGAACGATCGTAGTACAGACAGTCCCTCCACATTTGAGAGGCCCAGCTCCATCAAACTTAGGCTGACAATAATCCCGTCAAAGATATTCCAGCCCTCTTGAAAATAATAATATGGATCCATGGCAATGATCTTCAGTACCATTTCTGCTGTAAAGATCCCCGTGAAGACCTAAAGTGAAATATAGATTAGCACTTCAAAAGCATTGAAATATTTTTAATTCTGCAAACATCTGCAAAGAAGAACATGAACAGTCTTGCATAAAAATATCCAGAATTTAAAATGGAAATTAAGTGACATAGAATGCAATATTGGTTTTTCTTTTCAAGGGAGTATTTTGATAAGTGAATTTTTCTTTGCCCAATTATAAGTCAATATTGCTAGATTTTATGGAAAATGTTGATTTTAAAACATTTGATCATCCAATTTTAAAATCTGATAATAAATAGTGAATTACTGCTCTTTTGGGGGCGCTATTGAGGCTTCTACACTAATTAAAACAGATTATATTTTTTGTCTATTATTGCATTATAGGAACAAATTTGTATATTATTACAACTACTATAATTATCTTAAGTTTTGCAGAAACCATATTTTATTGCTGATATTTGCTTTTATAAGGGACACTATCTCACTTTTATAATTTATAATCATTTTTGAAACAAGAGTGAGTTTGTCACAATGTTTTAGAACTGTAATTTCTGGATGCATGCCTCAGAATTAAGGTTTGTGGATTAGTAGAGTAAGGAACTGCAGATTTAATTGAAACCAGCAGCAGAACACTCTCAGAATGCACATACCAGTAATTAAGATTAATGAATTATTTGATTGGTTAGTTGAATGAATTGTTTTCTTGCCTATTTGGTAATAGAAAGAAAAGCTATTAAACAAACTAAAAGAATTGATTTTAGATCAAAGCCACTAGTTAAGATCCATACTGTCAAAGTCTTATAAAATTCACCTCTAGTAAATTCTCTTAGTTCACTGTCGGTATTTATTGCACTTTGTGGTGTTAAAATGGGGCTTGCCATCCTGTCATTTAGCCTTTATGTTGAAAGAATTCTGTTAGGATAAAATATTACAATTGTTTTCCTAAACCAGTTGATCTATTTTTTTTTAAATTGATTCACTGTGATGTTCTGTGCCATTGATCTTCTTGTAACTCAGCCACCCTACGCACAATAGCTCTGAACCCTGACCTATTCTAAGCCGTTATAACTGTCTCTAACACACCTACCCTCAGTACCCCAGTTATTGTGTTAGATCATCTCATCCTGGGTCTTCCTCTCTGGAACTGTCCCTTGATCTTTCACTGTTAAATATTCATACTCTGATTTACTGTAACTTATATCTAAATGCAGCTAAAATAAAAATCAAATCCATTTTAATTGAGTGGAACCTGACTCATGATGACTTTATAAGAAAATTCAAACTGCCTTATATACTCTCCAGTGTTGCAAATCTTTATGCAAATAGACTGCCACTTTATTGCACAAATGTTTCATTACTTTCTAGTGAATCTGATTCCTCTTACACTATTACTATAATTTCTTATTTTAGTTTTATTACTCTTGTGCCCTTTGAATAAATTTGCTTTTCCCTGAATAATTCATATTTTGAATTATATTGAGATATACTTAAAATAGATGAAAATAATTTAATATTTGCTGGGTTTTTTTCCCTTTGCCTAAAGAATGAGAATATTTTTTGAGATGATTTATTTAGTCTCCATATAAAATTCTTGAGTTTCTCAATGTCAAAAATTGTATTTGGAATAATCATTGCTATATCAAAGCTTCTGTAAAAGTTATTAGTTTGGAAATAGGAAGGCATTTTTACATTTTTCTAGAAAAGTGGTTCATGACAAAATAGTGCTCCCTTAAGTATGCAAGATGACTTTTAAGAGCATTCTAGGATTTTTATACTGAGTGCTTTATCTTTAAATAGTCAAATTTCAACCACTTCAATGGATAATCACTTCCCTCTTGAAATTTTGCATTCATATTCTAAGCCACAATATTTAATTAAAACATACTATATGTTCTGAGATACCTAAATATCTAGAATAAGGTCATATCGTGAGCCCTTAATCACTGGTTACATTATTGTTAGGTGCTAATGAGTTGGGTAAGACTCAAAGCGACCCTATGAACAATAGACCTGAACCCTGTCCTATTCTGTGCCATCATCATCATCTCTGAAACACTTAAGACTATTGCTTCAGTCACTGTTTCTCTCAGCCACATTGGGGGTCTTTTACTGAGCCCCCACCTTTCCAAGTATGACATCCCTTTCCATGGAATAGCTTTTCCTAGCAACATGCCCAAAGTATGAGAAAGGAAGCTTCATCCTCCTTGCCTTCAAGGAATATTCTGACAGAACCTTTCCCAAGACACATCTGTTTGTTCTTTTGGCAGACCATGGGATATTCAGTACTCTTCTCCAACATCAAAACTTTTTCTACCATCTATCATTTTCTATCATCCTCTTAATTTTCCAGCTCTCTAATGAGTAGCAAGTGACTGAAAAGACCAGGGACAGAATCAAATGAACTTTAATCTTCAGACTGACATTGCTCTTCAATATTTTAGAGAGATCTCTGATGTTGTTGTTGTTAGGTGCCGTTGAATCGTAGATGACTAATAGCGACCCTATGAACGAAAGGCCTGAGCACTGTTCATAGAGTTTCCAGAGGCAAGCCATTTCAGAAGTAGATGCCACTCCTACTTCCAGTTTGTTTTAATTGAGAAGCTCCATCAAACACTGTCTGCCATGGGTAACTATTATTATATTTGGCACATCAGTGTCACAGTGTTTAGCATCGCACTATCTCTGATAGCAAACTTGTATAATTCAGTATGTTTCCTGATCTCCTGAATGCTGGTACCAAAGGTATTAATCGTTGATTCCATTAGGATGAAATCATTGACAACTTCAACACTTTTCCCCTCTATCTTGATGTTGCCTATAGGCCCACTAATGAGAACCTTTGTTTTCTTGATGTCGACAGTATACATCAAACAACAAACTAGTCTGTTGTGTTGTGTGTAGTCTTGAGTTGGAACCAACCCATAGCTGACCCTCTGGTGGGTTTTCAGAAGCAGTTAACCACACGGAAGGAGATTGCCTATCCTTTTCCCATGGAGCAGCTGGAGGCCTGAACTGCATGTCTCCAGAGGTTGAAAAGCAGCCACCAGAGCTCCCTAAATAGTCTAGGAACTGAAAATACCTCTATTTCCTGAAGGGAGCATTACAGTTTAGTTGGAAATATGTATATTATAAAGAGTTTGTCTAACCAACTGTGATTGAGGAAAGATTTCTTGATCATAGAACTTGAAAGGTGGATACATCAATTTTATTACAGTAGCAACAATAATATAAAACAAAGCATCTAGGAACTCAGAGTAATGATAGAAATGAGAGGCTTCTTGGGTATCAAATTTGCTCAGTCCAACTAACAGGAAAGTGACAAAGATTTTTTTGTCTTCCACATTTATACGATTTTAAAAGTACCATATAAATCTAAATCAAGACTATTTCCATAATTCTTTATGTGATGTTCTTAGGCTTTTGATTCAACCAAAATCCTATTATTATTATTATTTTATTAAATAGTATTAATATTACTATTACTATTAATATTATTAAGGCAGTAAGGAACCACCTGATCAATAATAGATACTAAATTTCTAATTTTAATGAGCAAAATATACACACCTACCTCTCAATGTGTGCAATGCAAACATCTATGGTGTAAAATACAGTCTAAAGTTTACATATTTTGCAAATGATTTTTTTTCCTTTTTGGGGGGGACACAACCAATATTCATGGATGGTGCAGTCAAGAAACCAAAGACTGGACAAATGTGCCACCTTTCGAAGGTGCTGAAAAGTAAGGTATGCCTGACCCACATCATGATATTTTTAATTATCATATGCATGTGAAATTTTGTCAATGGATAAAAAAGGTAGAAGAGAAACTATTGCATTTCAATTGCAGTATTGTAGAGGATATTGAATGTATCATGAACTACCAAAAGAATGAACTTATCTATCTTGGAAGGAAGTGCAAGTAGAGTGATCCTAACAGGCAAGGATGGTGAGACCATTTCACATAAATTGGGCCTATCTGTTAAAAGGAGAGGCCAAACCTTGAAAAAGTCATAATGCTTGGAAAAGTAGGGGCTCGGGAAGAAAAGGAATGTCCTCAATTACATGGATTGGCACAATAAGTGCAAAGATGGTGCAGGGTTGGAGAAGATACTGATATATACCTATATAGTTATTTATTATTGGAAGATAAGGATATATAGGCTTGCTATGAGTCAGATTTGACTTGTTGGCACCTAACAGTAATATCAGGGATATATATATGTGTATGTGTGCATGGGGGGGCAGTAGGTAGCATCATGATAAATGGAGAAAAGACTGAATTTGCTAACAATTTTGTCTTGCTTAGATCTCTTAGCATCAGTATTGAGGAAATCAAAAGACAGTTTGCTTTTGGGAAAATACTGTCAAGGACCTGGCAACAATATCAGCCTAAACACGATCATGAGATTCCCATTTTCCTCAAGGTTAGCCACAATTTATTGTGATCCACACAGTCAAATATCTTTGCATAGTCAATGAAACACAGATAGACATTCTTCTAGTACTCTCTACTTTCTGCCAAGATCCATGTGACATTGACAATAATTTCCCTAGTCCCTTGACCTCTTCTAAGCCCAGCCTGTATCTCTGATAGTTCTCTGACAATGTACTATCCAAGTCTTTTCTGGATAATCTTTAGCAGGAATTTGCTACTACGTGATATTAGTAATAATTTTTTATAATTTCCACAGTCTGTTGGGATACCTTTTTTTGAAATGAGAATAAATATGGATCTCTCCTAGTCAGTTGGCCAAGCAGTTGTCCTTTCTTGGGACAACATGGTGAGAACATGCAGGGCAGCATCTGTTTGCTGAAATACATCAATTGATATTCCATCAATTCCTGGGGCTTTATTTTTTGCCAAGTCCTTCAGAGCAGCTGAATTTCCTCATTCATCACCATTGCCTCTTGCTCATACGTTGTTTCTTGAAATTCTTCTGTGTCAGTGAATTTTTTTGGATACAATGAGTCTGTATACTCTTTCCATCTGCTTTTAATGCTTCTTGAATCATTCAATA